AGGCACATTGCTTGCCACAAAAACTGCTCTTCATTTCAGCCTGGAATGCCATGGGCATGGAGAGTTTAGGATTACAAAACCCATGCCTGTGACATTAGCTTTTCCACAAGTAGAGCCAGATCTTCAGCTGATATAAATAAATAGAGCAAGGGGAGGAACGGGAAGAGAGAAATTAAGGTCACTCTATCATGAGGATTTGTCTCTTTCCATCTTTTCTTAACTAGTTTCATTCTGCCAAAATAACTTGCTTCTTAATTATGCCAAATCACCGTAGCTTTGGACTTCAGGTGAACCAATGGATATTGCCCATAAATGGGAAATTTCTCCTGTGCCATTATTGTTATAGAAGATGGCTTTCTAGAGACATATGCAAATTCATAAACAGATTTTAACTTAATAGTAAAAACAGTTATACATGACAAACATTCCTCATAAAACTTGTTATATATTTCTTGGCAATCACCGTGCATTTCTTCTTGCAAAATAAAGTTTGTGATACTATTAAACTTAGGGAGAAAATAATAGCATTTTGTGTAGATCTCTATGCCTTAAAGGAGTTTTATGTCTTTTCCTCTGATGTTAAGTGCTCAGGATCTCTCTCTCATTCTCACTTTGAATACAATAATATGATCTCTCACAATAAAAATAAAAATAAAACAAACATGATTTTTGCAACCTTGAACCTACAGACAGAGCCTCACTGAGAAAAGTGTTGCATTTTCAGTTAACAAAGCTAGTTAGCAGCTCTGTACTCTGACTTGCAGAAGGCAGTTCAGGGAGGTGGCACAATTAGCAGCTGAAAACTAAAGTACTTTCAGTATGTCTTTTCCTCTCTTTGCTTGGATCCAATATTACTTTAAAGGGAATGGATTCTCTACTGTCTTCTTTATTTGTAAATATATACTCTTGGCAAACACAGACTTTTGAAACTTCTACAGGAGCATGAATATTCTTGTTTCTGCCCTTAAAATATGCATGCACTTCATTTATAAATGAAAATAGAAAATGAAAAACCATGTTTAGAAGGATGCCCTGCAGATTAGTTTTCCTGTACAAATTGATGCTTACAGTTTACTTTAGATTTCTTAGAGTTTATGTTTATTACTGATTAAATATATATTCTTGCATTTTACATATCTGTGTGATAATTTATACTAAAAGATCACTGATTTTTTTAAAGGTCTATTAAAGCTTTCTTGATAGATTTTATTAAGACAGGTTATTTGGGGAGGGGGGAGGAGAGGAAGAGGGGAGAGAAGTTAATTTAAATTCATGAATTTAATTCATCTTCAGGATCAGTCTGGTTTTGTGTTGTCAGATACCTGTATATGGCTCCAGATAAGCACAAAAAATAAAATTGTGGAAGACATTCCCTAGCCAGGAAAACCAGTATGACTCATGGATTAGAAAATAGATGGAAATGACTTTGCAATTCATATAAAAGCTTCCTCAGAAAAGTATCTTTTTCTTTTGTTTGGTTTCCTTTTTAGTGTAAAAAAAGTTTATGTGGCACTTCAGTATAAAGGAAGAGAAATGTAAGAGTTGATGTGTTTAAACTCTGAAAGTTACAAGTCTCACACAGAGTTAGGTTGCTAGACAAATATACATTTGGAGAGCAGCTGAGGTATAATGGAAGATTTGGGGAGACTTTTAACAAGACTTTTAACAAGGGGAATCAATTAGGTGCTATTTTTATGTATATACTATATGCTGTTTTCATCATGCATGCAGTTTTTTAATTGTTTTCTTTTTTTTTTCTTCTCTCTCTCTTTTTTATTTTTATTATTTTTATTTATTTATTTATTTTTATTTCTGCAAGCTGAGTATTGCTGTGTGCATTGGCTTTTTTGCTGCCTGGAGCCCTTATGCCGTCATTGCCATGTGGGCAGCGTTTGGATCAATAGACAAGATTCCTCCATTAGCCTTTGCTGTTCCAGCTGTTTTTGCAAAATCCTCCACACTCTACAATCCAGTTGTCTATCTTCTTCTGAAGCCCAATTTTCGAAGTACCATTGCCAAAGATTTCACAGTTCTTCAACAGTTGTGCATCGGGAGTTGTTTTTGTGTCAAGATGCTGCAGACATTCAGATCAACTTTGAACACCAGCTTGAGAACATTTAAGGGCAAAAGTGAATCTAGCTGTAATGCTCTTCCAATTGTGGAAGGATGTTCTTATTTCCCCTCTGAAAAATACAGTGATACTTTTGAATACTTTAAAAGCTGTCCAAAATGCTGCCAGGAGAAGATAAGTGCTATGGGAAGCCCTTCTCAAGAAATCACAGCCTTGGAGAACAGCCTCCAGGTAAAAATGAGGCAGGGCAGCAAGAAATCAGTAAAGGTGGTTGTGCAGGGAGAAAAAAGCACCGAACTTGAGAACTTAGAAATCACCTTAGAAGCAGTACCTGTGCATTGTGCATTTACAGACCTCTAGAACTGCTTATATGAAGCAATCAGAGAAAAATGTTGTTATACTGGATTCATGAATGTAATTTCTTCTTTAGAGCCCTTCTATTATCCCATTTTCTACATTATTTTCCTGTTCTTTCTCATGTACGCTTTGATGGGATACATGCTAGAGCATGGGCATGCTATAAATGCTTATGTGACTCTCTCCATGATAACTTAAGTATATTGTGATAAAAAAACATCAGACAAATCTTCTCTGTTTTAACTTCCATCAACCCCATTTTCAAGAGAACGCACTTAACTGTGGGGAGGTTTCCGTAAAGTGTTACCCTTTCTAGACTTTGTATATTTTCCTTCCTGTATGTTCAAAGCAAATGACTCAATGTAGAGCTTTAAAAGAACAATCTCATGCTTTTCTAATTGTTATAACAACTGAAAAGTTAATTACCAGATTAAAAGCTTGGTTTCTAAGAAGTGATGTTGAGCAACCACATGTGTTATATTTCCTGGGAGTCATAGGTCATTTTGTTCCATGCTTTGAGATTATACAGGTTCTGACTATATTCCACATTAATGAAATAATATTTCAGGTAATTTGTAGATGGCATGCAGCCTTTACCATTTTTGGTGTAATTTGAGAGGAACTTGACCTAGAACATAGTTTATTATTCCCGGTTTCCGCTATAGGACATTGGAATTAGGAGGGTGAAGACCTTGACAAGAAATAGCATAATAGGCAACAATCTCTGCTAGTTCAAACTACTGAAACCAGTAATAATTCTCCCATGGCAAAACCACAGTCCTTCACGAATTTTTGAACTTGGCTTACAACGACAATATTGCAGAGCAAGAACATGCACATCTCTTCTTTCCTTTTTTATTTTTTTTTCCTCCTCTCCTGAAAGACATAGGAAAAACAAACACAGGCATATCTGAGACAGGGCTCTGGAAATGGTGGCTTTTACTGGGGAGGGAAGATTGGGTTGAACTGCTGCTCTGTCTCAGAGCTTGCCAGCACAAAGCATCACATCCTCTGCTGCTGCCTTGAGAGCAAGTGCATGCTGAGGGCTTCAGGCTCTAATTTTGGCCATGCCAAAGCCCTCTGATTAAGTTGTTAAAGCTTTGTGTTTCAGCTCGTGCTAGCTTGGGAGATAAGGCGGTCCTCCTCCCAAAGTGCCTCCAATCTGCAGGGCCAGTGGGTCCCAAGCTCCCCAGGAGGCCAGAGGAGAATACCTGCATCTTTGTAACATCAGTGATGCAGCAGCAGAGTGTTTCACTGCCATTTCTGTGGTGACTTAATGAACCTGGTTGCAAAAGGGACAGCCATGTTAAACTCCATGAAATAGTCTCCAAGCAGCCACTTTAAGGGAATTTCTATTGTTATAGAGCACATTTGGCATTTGCTTGGGACACAGAGTTTTTTGTCCTGCTTTTAAACTGCCCCCACTGTCTCCCCAGTTCCCCCTTCCTCCCCCCCCCCCCCCCCAACTCCTTTTACTCTCCATGTTTTTGTATATGAACAATAATTAAGATGTATTTTATTGAATTTCCACAGATGCATATATATTTAAAACACATGACCAGCCACATGATAAATAATATAACAGTTTTACAGGGCATTACACAAAAGACACCCACTTATGCTCAAAATTACCATGTCTCTTCAGGGTCACTGGAAAAGCAATCAGAAAAGACAGCAGGAATCTGAATGCTTAGACTTTCAGTGTGTGTTTTCTCCAAAACTTCCTAAGATACATGGGACAGCAACAAGGCTCAAATGGGATCCTGCTCCTGCAGGGCTGATGTCACTGCAGCTGTTGGTCCTACCTCAGATGAGGTAGGATCAGGCTTTGAGACGTTTAGGCAATGCTGACCTGATGGTGAATCAGTGGAAAACAGGTCTGGAAGCTATGTCTGGAGGTCATCTGGTCCTTCCCGCTAGAAGTCCCATTGACATCAGCGCACAAAGTTGGGTATGCGAATAAGTCACCGGAGGATTCACCAACAAAGACACATGCTTTAACTGGAAAAGCCTGAAAATATCACACTCTCAAAAGACAACAACTAAAAGAGTAATACACATTATGCAGAGGAGCTGCATGCTTGGCTTCCATGGTGTTGTTTGAGATCCCAGCTGTAATACGCAGCTCTTTAAAATAATCAGAACAGCTTTGGGATATTTTTTGTGCTGTGACTGCACTTTGAGGTGTGGTGCTGGTTAGCTACATGGTGAGATAATATTTTGAGCTATTATCATAAACCACAAATATATTTTTTTCTAATAAATGTACATAGGAAAGTCAGGAAGGTAAGTTTGGAGTCTCCATGCCTGGATTTACAGTCACTTTCAATTCTGCATTCCCTGTAGTGGAAGCCGAGGCTGATTTGTGTGAGATGATATATTTATATATTTTTTAGCCTGGGAAATATGTGAATATATATTTACATAACGCCTTTTCATAATGTGAGGGAAAAAAAAAAAAAAAGCTGTATCTTTTCAGGTTCCTTCCAATTGGCATTGGGCTTTCTGAATCTAGCTGTCAGCTCTGAGTACAGAGAAAAACATGTGCATAAAAGGTCACATTCAACTTTGACTAGAAAATGTAGTGTTTTAAAATTCATGATAGAATCCATGTCAGTTCCTTTTATAAGTTAACAGAAGGAACATTATGCCTTTGCAGTGAAATCTCCATATGCTGAGACATTAGGAACAACAGTGCACTTAGATAATGGTCCCTCTACATGTGGGGGAAGGTTTCCCTCTTGTCTGAGCAGCTTTTTCTGTAGCAATCACAATGTCCAATAAACTTTTCAAACCTGCCAGTCTGGATTTTCCCACCCATTTTTCATCAGCGTTAGTCATCAGCTACTGCTAGCAAAGTGTGTGTAAATGAAATGCCACCAGCTTCAGGGGCTCTGTGTTACTATGTGTTAAGGTCTGATGAAAGTGCCAATGGATTATTGGAATTGAAAAAAAAAGTTTGTTTTTAAAGATTAAACAATAAAACTTATTCTCACCTAATGAATGAACTCATAATTTTTGTTGCTAGCAATGTATTTAAATACACTGAATACAACTGATTTTTATACTGTCAGTGCAGAAATGGCAAGGCAAACCAGTGAGGTTTGTGCTGCAACATAGCATAGAAGATGTGGCATGTCCTGCCTGCCTGGTAAGGTTTTTGAAGGGGAAACATTGCATTTCTGGGAGAACGCGGTTGTTCGGAAAGGTTTAAGTCTACTCCTGACCAGAGGGGACTGCAAGTCATTCCCACCTGGTATGAAGGCCAGTGATGAAGAAAGGCAGAGCTCACACGTTAACAGAGTGAATTCATTGCATACACACAGTTTAGCAATGTCCTAGCAGTGAAAGCATCCATAAAATCCCTCTTTGCTTGGATTGAAGGGCCAAGGGACTGCTCACCAGGGGGGCTCAGCTGGCTGAGCTGAAGACAGCAGGGCAGAGGTGGTGGCTCTGGGCTGGGGACCATTAATCCTTCAGCCAGAAAAGCAGTAACCAGAAACCTGTGCACCTGCATTCCATGATCACAGCACCCTTTCTCCCCCTCTGTATTGGCCTCTTGCACTCATTTAAGGTTTTGTTTTACAGGAGATGGTGAGCTTTGGGTTAGGAACTGCTTTCTGTTCTGCACAGGAAGGATCTCTAAGCCATGTGGGGGACACCAAGCCCTGGCTCGCTGCCAAAGAGGGCTTCTGCTGCTCCTGACTCTGCTCTATACCCACAGTGAGAAAGAAATGCGTGCTGTAAGCAGGCAATGTATCATGTTTTGGGAGCATCATACTCCCCTTTTAAGTCATTTCACGTACTGAGCAATGATGTCCCTGCAGTGGAAGGAGCATCCATCAAAGGTTGTAGAAAACAAGTTAACTACCTGGTTGCATCACATCTCCGTCAGAAGACACAGCCCTATCCATCTTTTTCTGCTGTACTCCCTCCATCCTCTCTGCTCTGCTTTCCATTAGCTTTATACTTTCCTTCCACTCAGTGTATGCCTGGAGAGATCTGTAGCAGGCACCTTGCTTTCTCAGTGCACTCAACATAGGAATAAAAACCTGTGAACCGCCCAGTTTCTTTGTGCAATGTTAAACCTTTGTGATTGAAGGCTTATATTTTCAACCATTGCCTGAATTGAAATGGTATGTGGAGGTCAGAAGCACCTTCACAGCGCTGGCTCATGCTATATGTTTCTTTATGTGTTTTTTCTTTTTTTTTTAAACTTGTTGTCTTCATTTTAGCAAGGTACTGTGAAAGCTTTTCTCTAGCACATCTGCCAAGATCTGACACTTTCTTGTGATGGGATTGGAAAGGAGGCTGGGCAGTCCCCATTATTTTTTCCCTTTGTGAGAAAAACACTATCTGCAGAGAGAAAAGAGAAGCAGTGGAGGCATTACTGCAGCACATGCTTTTCTTGCTACTGTCCCTTTTTAGAGAAATATGCCTTCTCCTAGAGATGGGCTTTTACCAAAGAATTTGGTGACATTCATCATGTCACAGCATAGATGCAATTAGATAAAGGACAACTGGAAATAAAAACTAAGCAGAAGGGCTCTTAACAGGAAAGTGATGGAAGGCATGCTACTGATGTAGCATCCCTAGGAAGGCTAGAAATAGGCTTTTTAGGCACAATCCAGTGCATAAGCAAGAAGGAGCTGTGGAGCTGTAATATGGACAAGTTCTGTATCTTCAGCAGTGCAAACAGTGATCCAAGACATAAATCCAAATGTTACATCCCTGAAGGGAACCTCACAAAGGCACTTCACCTACCAAAAAAAAAGAGAGAGAAAAGATTAAAAAAGAAAGAAAAAGAAAAAGAGAGAAAAAGAGACCATAGTGTGTAGATATGTTTTTCAGTGGATTTTAAATTGCAACTGTGATTGTGAGTGGTGCGACAAAAGCACTGTCAGAAATGTCAAAAAACTTTCAATACAAAAATTTGGAAGTGCAAGGCTTGAATTTTCTGAGTCATTTTAAACTTATAAGGGTATTTTAGCATCACCTGGGATGCGTCAGAACAGGCAAACCCTTTGTCCTTGGGACATGCTCTGGAGGTGCAAAAGTGTTGTCAGAGTGCAGGGCAGCAGCTGGGTGGCTGCACTGCCCCAATGATAGCATGGACCCTGAATCACTCTAGGGTGTGCTGAAGAGATTAAAACTGCTTTATCTACTGCACAACCCCCTCCTCTGCAGGACACCTCACAGGCCCATAATGCAGAGGTGATGTTTCTGTGATGGTGCTGCAGCCTCTACAGGACGGGGGACTGGGACTAAACCTCATGTGCATTCAGGAGACATACTGAGAAGGATGATATCATCTTAACATCCCAAGTAGAGTTGAAGCTTTGGAAAGCTACCAGAACTCTCCTGGAGAATGGAGGGAGAGTGAACAAGTGGTAAAACACATCTTCCCCTGACCCTACCTCAGAAACTATTAACAATGACACCTTTCACACTTTTTTCTCAGGGTGCCTGTCTATGGGTCATAGGGAGATGGCCAACTATAATTTCTTTCTTTCAAGTTATCTCCCTGAAACTTTAACTTCTAGGAGTTTAAAATCTTTTGACTCACACAGCAAGTCAAATCAGCATTTGTGAAAGTAGTATTTCTTTTATAAACAGCACATTCTCACAAATCGACACTTTGCAAAGGTGACAATAATGCCACCAGTACGTACCTAAATCTGTTTCTTCTTACCATAAAGCAAGGCCTAAATTCACAGTAAGGCACCTGTTTCATACAGCCTGTTGTTCAATCTTAACAAATACTTAAAAACATTTTTCAAAGTCAGCCTTACCTAAATGCACTTGAGCTTCTGAGGTTGGTTTTCTTAATTTATTTAATAATTATTATATAAGAAAAAAAATAAGTTTTATGGCTGGGAAGGAAGCTTAGAATCCATGTAAGCAGCTTCACTGAAAGCAGACAAGGTGAAGGAAGTACTCAAACTCCCCAACATGAAACAACTGTAGAACTCAGGAACACTTACCTGCCAGCTTCTGAACTTGAGTCATTGCCAAACTACTTCACAGGGAAGTAACACCACCAGGGTTTTCCTGTACTGAGAAGGCACCGTCAACATAACTAACTCAGAATCTCTAAACCTATTTCACAGAAATGGTAGAAAACATGAAGAAAAAGCAGCCTACTGGGGAACAGAGCACCCTATGTAACCTCCACCTCAAACTCCCCTGGAGAAGCAAATCCTCCTGTAACTCCTCATGCTTCCTATATAGCAACAGTCAAATGATCCCCACCTGGCAGATTTCACTTCACAAGGGTGGATCCAAGAGACCTTGTGGAAAAGGCTCATCTACCTGGCTTCAATGTTTTAAGGTCAATTGCTCCTTATCGCTAATAGAAATAACCTGATAAGGGGCTTAGTGGTTAGAGTTGACCTAATGAATTACCTACGAATGGTGCATAAGAGTCATATTTCTGTTAGTCATTCTGTGAGGAAGATCAGTACAGAGCCTGTTAAAATAAGATAGATAAACATAAATAAAATAAAAAAGAAAATGACCTTAAAGGCAAAATTGCTGTCATAGATTTTCATCTGTCTAGTCACGACTGATAAAGGATATAGCAATCAGAATGACTTTTCTTGACATTACTGTTATTTAAATTCCTAGCTGAAACCAGGACAGCTGTTTTCTGGCTGGTCATTGGAAGAAGGTTGGCTGGCTTGAGGGAGCTTCTGTACACATGGCTTTTAGGATGCAGCCAAAGTGTTCCTCTAGATCTGGAAGTTTGAAGATGGTTGAGTGGTTAGAAAGCTGCCTGGCAGAGAAGGACCTGGGAGTATTGGTTGATAGTTGGCTGAATATGAGCCAGCAGTGTGCTCAGGTGGCCAAGAAGGCCAACAGCATCCTGGCTTGCATAATAAGCAGTGTGGCCAGCAGGGCTAGGAAAGCGATTGTCCCCCTGTACTCGGCTCTGGTGAGGCCGCACCTTGAGTACTGTGTTCAGTTTTGGGCCCCTCGCTACAAGAAGGACATGGAGGTGCTTGAGCAGGTCCAGAGAAGGGCGACGAAGCTGGTGAGGGGTCTGGAGAACAAGTCCTACGAGGAGCGGCTGAGGGAGCTGGGTTTGTTCAGCCTGGAGAAAAGGAGGCTCAGGGGTGACCTTATTGCTCTCTATAAGTACATTAAAGGAGGCTGTAGTGAGGTGAGGGTTGGTTTATTCTCCCATGTGCCTGGTGACAGGATGAGGGGGAATGGGCTAAAGTTGTGCCAGGGGTGTTTTAGGTTGGATATTAGGAAGAACAACTTTACTGAGAGGGTTGTTAGGCATTGGAACAGGCTGCCCAGGGAAGTAAGGTGCTTGAGCCACCATCCCTGGAGGTCTTTAAAAGATGTTTAGATGTAGAGTGTAGTGAAATGGTTTAGTGGAGGACTTGTTAGTGTTAGGTCAGAGGTTGGACTCAATGATCTTGAGGTCTCTTCCAACCTAGACAATTCTGTGCTTCTGTGAACAAATATGTTTTGCTCCAGGTGTGACATAGCTGGGACCAGTCCTGTCCTTCTTGCACTGTGGTGATTACATCGTTATTGCCAATTGCACTTTGCAGTTACTCATGGATTTTAATCTTATTGTTTTATGAAGTGCAACTAATTAATCCTCTCATTCCACTCAGCTCAACAGTTGCTATTGAGGATCATCTGCATTTTCGTTTCAGATGAAGAACCACAGCAGAGATTTCAGGAGACTTGTCAGTGTAATTAGAGGAGTCAAGGTGCTGGAAACTGGTCCCCATCACTTGGAATCCAGGAACAGCTCTGGCTACACATCTGTTATTTGGAGGAGCCACACCGGAAAATTAATAGCTGTGAGCTGAAATGAGGATGAGTCTTGTTGTCTTTTGTTTGACATGTCTCACTTTCTGAAGAGGGTCAGGGCCAACCTATTCCTTTGACAGAGAGACACTGGCAGACACTGTCTGCCAGTCAGTTGTAGAGATTTAGTTCAGAGAGACTGGCAGAAGAATTCTTGGGTACTAAAACATTTTCCTTTTCAATTATCTTATTTTTCCGCTATGACACTCTGTTTCCTATCAGGCTTCATGCCGAGACAAGGTTGTTACTGAATGCTGATTACCTGCTGTTCAGGGAAAATCACATTTTTTTGACAGGTAGTTTTTCCAATTCTGCATGCATGAACACAGACAACTTCTCTATGGACTGTGGTCACAGTCAGCATACTGGCTGACAGACAGAAGTGTCGTGGTTTAACCTGGCCGGCAGCTAAACACCACACAGCCATTCGCTCACCCTCCCCCCTCCCTCTCTGGGATGGGGGAGAGAAATGGGAAAGTGAAGCCCATGAGTTGAGATAAAGACAATTTATTAAGACAGGAAAATAATAATAACAATAATAATAATAACAATAATGATGATAATAGTACTACTACTAATAATATGTATGAAATAAGTGATGCACAATGCAATTGCTCACCACCCGCTGACCGATGCCCAGCCTAACCCTGAGAAGTCCAGCCCCCCTCCCCCGGCTAGCCACTCCTATCTATTGTTTAGCATGACATCGGATGGTGTGGAATACCCCTTTGGCCAGTTTGGGTCACCTGTCCTGGGTGTGTCCCCCCCCAGCCTGCCCATTGGCAGGACAGAGCAAGAAGTCCTTGGCTTCGTGTAAGCACTGCTCTGCAACAATTAAAACATCGGAGTGTTATCAGCACTCTTCTCATCCTAAGCCAAAACACAGCATTCCACCAGCTACTAGGAGGAAAATTAACTCTGTCCTAACTGAAACCAGGAGAAGAAGTGTACAATAGAAATGACTATGCTGTTTTAAAATACTAGATAAGTCCATGGTTTAAAAATGCCTTTCTTTTCATTCACTGCCCAGTCCATAGTTCACCCACTCCAACTCACCATATTTGGGTTTAAATTGTTGTGTGGGGTTGGGGGGCGGGATCCTTCAATAAGCCCCGGCTGCTCCTCCAGGTTATCTCCAGTAGAGAGGCAGAGCCTGTAAGTCAGAAGACTAACTTAAATATTTGTGCAAGAAAGTCTTGGTCCAGCCCATTATTCAGAAGTGTTTTGCACAGTTTGATGTAGTGACATTTCTTTGCTGATTTCTCTTCCCAAAATATTTTATTCATTTCAATTCATACTTGTGTTGGATTAAGTTCCACTCCTGACTGAAAGTGGATCTTCTCCCATGATTTTTTCCTACAAAAGCCACAGTTCTAAGCCAGGATATCCGTGGTAGTAAGTCTGTGTGATATTTTTGATTCTGAAGAAGTGAGACTCCAAGGTCTGCTCTGAATGTAGACTTCCCTGGTGAATTTTACCTGCCCTGCCAGCTGGCCACTTTGCAAGGCGGGGGTGAATCTGACAGCAGCTTATGCTCCCATGGGCAAAATCCAGATAAACAGCATTCTTACCTAGATCCCAATACACCAAGCCCATAAAACCAAAGTGGTAACCAAACCACAAGGCTGAGTGATTTCCTCCAAAATATACTATTAACTCCTATTTTATTTTTAGCCTGGCTCCTGCCCACTCCAGCTGAATGGGACTTGGTTTTCTACTTTTCTCAATTATCAACTCCAAACCTATGTCTGAGGTCTTGTTCTTTGCAACTTCACAATAGCAGATTGCTTTGCTGGCCCAAATACATTTGCCAGTGCCAGGTTTCTGAAATTTGCATTTAATGGATTTGGCTAAAAAAAGTAAAACAGAACTGAAGTAAAGGAAAAATGTTCTCCCTATACAGGCTATGCTGTCTGACATAGAAGAGCCTTATTTTGGTGTAATGAAAATGTTATTTCCCTTTGTTTTAATGCTGTACATCCTCTTGCTGTTCCCAGTGAACATTTCCATAGTGAATTATCATCTAATTTTAAACAGCTAAAGGCTTTATAGGCTGCAATATACGAGGGTAGTAACAACTGACTAGAAATGTGAAGCTGCTGAGTGATCTATGCAATACACCAAAAACTGAAACAAGACAGAAAAGAGCAAACCCACTGTAGTTATGTATTCACTATTTAGCTAGTATTAAAAACAAAAGGTAGAAGAATATCTTTTTCCCAAGGGAAACATGACTTTGAATTTAGTATTTCTTAGAGAAATGGAGATAATGTCTTTTCTTTCAGCATGGATGGAAGATATAAAACCAAAGTTAGGTGGGCTCCGATGTGTAAAGAAGGGATATATGAGATTTCAAGGAGATCAACAGGAATATTGGCTTGGCAAAGACTGCAGACTTTGTTGAAGCTGAGGATCAAAACCCTCTACCTTTACATTCTGCCACAAAAGGCTTGATTTAACTCTTGTCTTTCTTAAATTGTCAATAGCGCATTTCTGATTTGAAAGCCCAGGGATTTTATGTGCTCAGAAAATTCTAATCCTCGTATGCCAAGAAGACAAAAAGACTTGGATAGCTCACTTTTGTGATAAAGAAGACAGGAAATTTTCTTCATTCACTTCTCAGGTCTTACAGAGTTCAAACAAGAGGTGCATTTTATCTGTATCTTGATGTTTCTATATTTGTCTTGCCTCTGACACAAGTTTCAGATTTGTTTAGCTCTGCGTGCAGTGACTATTTCAGGTTGTTGCATTCAATAAGCATGGATTCAGTGTGCAGTTCTATGTAAGTGAGCAGACTGTATGTATGGGGTGACTTACTTTACTCTGGAGATTTTGAAGGTTATCATATGCCCATTTGAAATTAAATCACCTGCACAGTTCAGACCTCTGTGGAACCATATTTTCCACATCATTCTGCTTCTTTTTAATTTTAATTGATGGTTATACTGTACGAAATCTGAAGGGGCTGAATTATAAGTTATTAGTAATGCCTATTATTTTTGTTTCCACTAAAAAACAAATAATATATCAATGTTTTAGAAGCGATGAAAGAGACCTTTTCCTCCATTACTCTTTACTGGCTTTAGGCCATCACAATTGCCCTGGCAGAAAAGCTGGGTGGAAAAGGGGTCTCAGAGATGTGCATTTCACTCATAATGGATTCGTTGTTTTTAGTCTGGTACACAGGAATGGTGCAAGGCTCCAGAATCAGAAGCTACTCAGCATGAGAAAGGATGGCTGCCCTCCTTTTTATCCCTCTGATGGTACTGCTCCTCCCTAGTCTAGAGAGAACTTGGAGAATCTTAGGAGTCTGAATAATGCTGGTTGGCTCTGCCCCTTGCAGGGCTCCTGGACACTTGAAGATAGACTCAAATTG